ACCCACCAGGCGGCGAAGGGACCTCTGGTGAGTGTACCTTTAAAATACTATACATGGTTTAAAAGCAAGCATGTTTAATGATTAATTTGCCCTGGCATTCGTGGCTCTCCTGGATATACTCCCAAAGCCTTTGCAAAAGGTTTCTGGAGAGGGCAGCCTTATTCCATCCACCACGGTAGGACACTTTACCACTCCAGGCCAGTAGCACATACTCAGGAATCATTGTAGAACAAAGCATTGCAGTGTATGTTTGCTGGTGTTCAAACAACATCCGTTCTTTATCTCTCTGTGTTATCCTCAGGAGAGTGATATCATTCATGGTCACCTGGTTGAAATAGGGTGCTTTTCTTAAGGGGACACTCAGAGGTGCCCGTTCCTGCTGGGCTGTTTGCCTGTGGCTGAACAGAAATGTTCCCCACTGTTAGCCACGGGGAAGGGGGAGGGGGGACGGGCTAGCCTCGTGCTAGGGGGAGGCAAAATGTGACCTTGTAACAAAAGCACATGTGCTATGTATGTAATGTTAACAGCAAGGTTTACCGTGAAAGAGTGTACCCATTGTTCTATAAAATGTGTCTTTTTAAATACCACTGTCCCTTTTTTTTTCTCCACCAGCTGCATGTGTTTCAAGGATCACAGAATCTTCTCCTTCCCAGAGGCTAGTGAAGATTAGAAGGCGAAAAAAACACACTCGCGATGAAATGTTCTCTGAGCTCATGCTGTCCTCCCACACTGACAGAGGACAGATGAATGCGCGGAGGCAGACAATGTCAGAATGCAGGAAAGCACAAAATAACCGGGAGGAGAGGTGGCAGGCTGAAGAGAGTAAGTGGTGGGCTGAAGAGAGGGCTGAAGCTGAAAGGTGGCGGCAGCGTGATGAGAGGAGGCAGGATTCAATGCTGAGGCTGCTGGAGGATCAAACCAATATGCTCCAGTGTATGGTTGAGCTGCAGGAAAGGCAGCAGGAGCACAAATCACCACCACAGCCCCTGTGTAACCAACCGCCCTCCTCCCCAAGTTCCATAGCCTCCTCACCCAGATGCCCAAGAACCTGGGGGGGGGGGGCCCTCTGGCCACCCAGCCACTCCACCCCAGAGGATTGCCCAAGCAACAGAAGGCTGGCATTCAATAAGTTTTAAAGTTTTAAACTTTTAAAGTGCTGTGTGGCCTTGTCCTTCCCTCCTCCACCACCCTTCCTGGTGCTTCTCTCCTCCACCACCCCTCCTGGGCTACCTTGGTAGTTATCCCCCTATTTGTGTGATGAATTAATAAAGAATGCATGAATGTGAAGCAACAATGACTTATTGCCTCTGCAAGTGGTGATCGAAGGGAGGTGGGGAGGGTGGTTAGCTTACAGGGAAGTAGAGTGAACCCAGGGGCGGGGGGGTTTCATCAAGGAGAAACAAACAGAACTTTCACACCGTAGCCTGTCCAGTCATGAAACTGGTTTTCAAAGCTTCTCTGATGCGCACCGCACCCTCATGTGCTCTTCTAACCGCCCTGGTGTCTGGCTGTGCGTAACCAGTGGCCAGGTGATTTTACTCAACCTCCCACCCCGCCATAAAAGTCTCCCCCTTACTCTCACAGATATTGTGGAGCACACAGCAAGCAGTAATAACAGTGGGAATATTGGTTTCGCTGAGGTCTAACCGAGTCAGTAAACTGCGCCAGCGTGCTTTTAAATGTCCAAATGCACATTCTACCACCATTCTGCACTTGCTCAGCCTGTAGTTGAACAGCTCCTGACTACTGTCCAGGCTGCCTGTGTATGGCTTCATGAACCATGGCATTAAGGGGTAGGCTGGGTCCCCAAGGATAACTATAGGCATTTCAACATCCCCAAAGGTTATTTTCTGGTCTGGGAATAGAGTCCCTTCCTGCAGCTTTTGAAACAGACCAGAGTTCCTGAAGATGCGAGCGTCATGTACCTTTCCCGGCCATCCCACGTTGATGTTGGTGAAATGTCCCTTGTGATCCACCAGTGCTTGCAGCACTATTGAAAAGTACCCCTTGAGGTTTATGTACTCGCCGGCTTGGTGCTCCGGTGCCAAGATAGGGATATGGGTTCCGTCTATGGCCCCACCACAGTTAGGGAATCCCATTGCAGCAAAGCCAGCCACTATGACCTGCATATTTCCCAGGGTCACTACCCTTGATATCAGCAGATCTTTGATTGCGTGGGCTACTTGCATCACAGCAGCCCCAACAGTAGATTCGCTCACTCCAAATTGATTCCCAACTGACCGGTAGCTGTCTGGCGTTGCAAGCTTCCACAGGGCTATTGCCACTCGCTTCTCAACTGTGAGGGCTGCTCTCATCTTGGTATTCTTGCGCCTCAGGGCGGGGGAAAGCAAGTCACAAAATTCCATGAAAGTGCCCTTACGCATGCAAAAGTTTCGCAACCACTGGGAATCGTCCCAGACTTGCAACACTATGCGGTCCCACCAGTCTGTGCTTGTTTCCCGAGCCCAGAATCGACGTTCCACTGCATGAACCTGCCCCATTAGCACCAGGATGCCCACTTTTCCAGGGCCCGTGCTTTGAGAGAAGTCTGTGTCCATGTCCTCATCACTCACGTCACCACGCTGATGTCGGCTACTCGCCCGGTATCGCTTTGCCAGGTTCTGGTGCTGCATGTACTGCTGGATAATGCGTGTGGTGTTTAATGTGCTCCTAATTGCCAAAGTGATCTGAGCGGGCTCCATGCTTGCCGTGGTATGGCGTCTGCACAGAAAAAAGGCGCGATTGTCTGCTGTTGCCCTGACGGAGGGAGGGGCGACTGACGACATGGCTTACAGGGTTGGCTTACAGGAAATTAAAATCAACAAAGGGGATAGCTTTGCGAGAAACTGAATGGCCCCCTCAAGGAGAGAACTCAAAACTGGGTTTAGCAGGCCGTTGATTTCACAGAGGGAGGGAGGGAGGAGAAAATGAATACAAAACATATCTGGTCTATTTCTTGTTTTGAGCCACTTCATCTATCTTTATACATCTTGCTGGCAGCAGGTGTGCAGTATGACTTCTAGCCATCGTCAACACTTGGGTGCATGGCAGAAGACAGTGCAGTTTGACTACTGGCCATCATCTTCTGCTAGCTGCAGATTAAAAGACAGTGCGGGACTGAATCGCCATGAGACGAAACAAGGGAAATGACCTGGCTGCGTCACTCACATGTTTGCCCAGGTGCCTGATTAAAAGAGCACCCAGGACTACGTCAACAACGGCTACCAGTCATACTGCACTGTCTACTGCCAAAAGGCAATAAACTGCTGCTGTGTAGCAATGCAGTACCACGTCTGCCAGCACCCAGGAGACATAGGGTGACGGTTACCTGAGCGGGCTCCATGCTTGCTGTGGTATGGCGTCTGCACAGGTAACTCAAGAAAAAAGGCGCTAAATGATTGTCTGCCCTTGCTTTCACAGAGGGAGGGAGGGAAGGGGAGCCTGACGATATGTACCCAGAACCTCCCGTGACAATGTTTTAGCCCCATCAGGCACTGGGATTTCTACCCAGAATTCAAATGGGCGGTGGAGACTGCAGGAACTGTGGGATAGCCACCCACAGTGCAACGCTCCAGAAGTCGACGGTTGCCTCAGTACTGTGGACACACTCCGCCAACTACATGCACTTAGAGCATTTGTGTGGGGACACACACAATCAACTAAAAAGAAAAGGAGTACTTGTGGCACCTTAGAGACTAACCAATTTATTTGAGCATGAGCTTTCGTGAGCTACAGCTCACTTCATCAGATGTATACCGTGGAAACTGCAGCAGACTTTATATACACACAGAGAATATGAAACAATACCTCCTCCCACCCCACTGTCCTGCTGGTAATAGCTTATCTAAAGTGATCAACAGGTGGGCCATTTCCAGCACAAATCCAGGTTTTCTCACCCTCCACCCCGCCACACAAATTCACTCTCCTGCTGGTGCTAGCCCATCCAAAGTGACAACTCTTTACATAATCAAGTTGGGCTATTTCCTGCATAGATCCAGGTTTTCTCACATCCCCCCCACCCCCATACACACACAAACTCACTCTCCTGCTGGTAATAGCTCATCTAAACTGACCACACAGTCAACTGTATAAAAACGCTTTCAACAAAACCGACTTCTATAAATTCGACCTAATTTCGTAGTGTAGACATACCCACAAAACAGTGCAAATACTTGTCATAAAAAATAACAATATAAAGTGAGCACTGTATACTTTGTATTCTGTGTTGTAATTGAAATCAATATATTTGAAAATGTAGAAAACATCCAAAAATATTTAATCATTGTTTAACAGAGCAATTAATTGTTTAATCACGTGATTAATTGTGATTAATTTTTTTAATTGCTTGACAGCCCTAGTCTTTAGTTATTATCTGAACAGTGCCCCTGAGTGTGCGAGCTTCCCTGCTGCCTCCCCACGCAGTAAAGTGATACAGTTCCTGTCCCTAAAAGCAGAGACGTTAATTGCAGACCTGCCCCCATGGCGGGGTGACAAAGCAACGGAGTGGGGAGGGCAGTAACAGTGAGTTTCTACAGTTACTCAGCGAGGCATGAAGCAGACGGGGGGATCCCTGGGGTGATGGGTCTGTGACGCTCAGCCCAGGGTGATGCAGTGAAAGGAACTGCGAACCACCCTCCCCCTTTATTTCTCCGTCTGCTCCTCTCAGTCTCTCTCCGCTTTCCCTGTATATCCCCTTCCCCCTCTGGCCCGGAGAGCCAGTTACTTCCCGCGAGCTGGACTGGCTCCTGCACGGACGCGCGGAGACGGGGCGTGTTCCAGCCGGAGCAAGCCCCCGACTCAGCAGCTCTGCAGCCCGGGCTGGTGTTGAAGGACACAGGAAGGGGCTGGAGCAACAGAGCAGGCTGCTGCGGAGGGTGCTGCTGGGAGGAAGGAGGCAGCAATCGAGGAGAACAAAGAGCGAAGCTGGCTGCTGCTTGCATTGGGGTCAGAGAGCCGGACTGAGCAGCTGCTACTTCTCCCGAGCTGGGGGAGACCTGCATTGCAATTTCCGAGAGGGGGGCTTTCTGCCCCGGGCTCTGCCCACCCCAGCCCAGCCCTGAGCGGGAGACTGCGGGTGAGTGAGCTCGGGGACAGGGGTAACATTGACTCTACGCAAACAGCCCCTCCTGGGAGCAATTGCAAGGAGCGGATCCAGACATGGGCGAGGGAAAACCCCAAGAATGGGGCTGTCCCAGCCAGAGGGAGAGGGGCAGGGGATAAAGGAGAGAGAGCCTGACAGGGGCAGGGGGAGAAATAAGTGGGGAGGGAGCGGCCCAGATCTCTCGCCTGCCCTGACACGTGTATTGCAGCTTCCCTGAGTAGATTCACAGTCCTGTGGGCAAGGTGAGGAGCAGAGAGTGGAACAGCCTGTCTTTGCCTCTCCCGGTTCCCCTGGGCCTATGGCAGGAGAATCCCCCAAAGTGCCTCCTTTGGTTCTGTTCTTTTCTAGCAGTAGGTTCAGAGACGGTGTCACTGGGAGGGGTTTAAACATATTCAATTCAGTCCTGGTGGTGGGGCTGTGGCTGTGCTGGGCTAAAGCTTGTTCCCAGTATAGCAGTGTCTGGAGCATCTGTCTGCAGGGAAAGAGCCAGGGGGACTCGTGAGACTTGTGATGTGGAATTAAGCAAAGTCTGTTTGGAAATCTCCCCAGCTGCCCTTCTCGCCCTGACAGGCTGCAGAGGAGCATCCCTGTTTTGTGCCGGCTTGGCTCAGCTTTCCATGGGACAGGGAAGGGGAATGGCTGCAGTGGAGCCAGTTCAGGTAGGGATTATCGGGGAGTTCCTGGAGAGGGGCAGTAAATACACAGGAGGTGGGAGCATCTGGACAGTTTGCTCTCGAGGTGGGAGGGGGTAGGAAATATAGAAGATGGGGGGGGGGGGGGGGAAGGACAGTGTGACAGACCTGCTGGAACTAGTTTAACTCGGGCCTAGATTCCAGGAACAGACCCATGGGGGTTGGGGTAGAAAATCCATGATTTGAAGAACAGGAAACAGCCCCCCTGGACAGAGCTGGGAAAACCTACCAGGCTCCCAGTGCTGGAGCGAGAATCTGCCAGCCAGAGCCTGTGATGAGATACTAAGGGGGCACCCACCAGTGCGGCTTAGGGGAGATGACCCATCCCCTCACATGCTGCTGCTGGCAATAGGGAGGGTGTTAGGATTCCTATCCTGGGGCTGAACCTGGACCCTGCCAGGGGCTCCATCTGTTGTGTCAGCTTCTGGCCAACAGGTGTGTGATGAATGTGAAGACCCTGCCCCTCTGTGTGCTGGGAGGGACAAGGGGCTCTTTCTTTCCCTCCTTTCACTCTGATACCTCCTGGCTTCTCTGAGCAGGGTGGGGGTGGGACTCTGGGGACTGTGCCTCCCAGAGCTTCCATTTTCCTGGCCCTGCTCCCCTGTGACTAGTAGGGCTGTCTCTGGGGCAGCAGGTACTGAGTGGGGGGCTCTTGCTCTTTCAGGGGTCGGTGACATTCGAGGAGGTTGCTGTGTATTTCACCAAGGAGGAGTGGTCTCTGCTGGACCCTGCTCAGAGAGCCCTCTACAGAGACGTCATGCAGGAGAACTATGAGAACGTGACCTCACTGGGTAAGGATTCCTGTCCCCTCAGATATTAGAAGGGGAAATGAAGAGTTAAGGTTCACATCGTCCCCACAATGCAACCTCAACTCTGCCCTGTTTCAGCAACAGCCCGTCATGCCAGTGACACACATGCTAATGCTCTGCCCTCCCCACTACAGAACACTTTGGGAACAGAGCACATGACAGGGTAGCACAAAGTCTAACATCTTCTCTTTGCTAAGGGAAAACTTGGGTTTATTTCCATTATAGCAGACAGAAGCTACCTACCCCAGGCCACAGTTAAACACTGAGCCTACTGCACACAAAGCATCTCAGATTAGCAAAACATTACCACGCCTTTTCCCTCCCCATGGGGATTCCTTCTGAGTCATTGCCTTCACTTACTCCTCACTAAGCCCAGAGACCATTAGCATGTTGACAATCCCCATGGTGAGAACACAACTTTGTGTACCTTTGTAGGTTGGGTCAATAACACTCAGCACTGAAATGAGGCAGACTTGGTCCCTCAAGGTTCATTTGCACCTCTCTTCACATTACAGTTACAGCTCTGCCAAGCTGCTCCAATTAATTCCTGCATCATTCAATTAGAGCTAGCACAGGGCACATAGCTGGAATGCATGCAGATTAATGGTGGTATTGCGGTCTGTGGAACACAACGCCAGTCCTTTCTCGTATCTGTTATAAACTCAGAGATTTTATGGACAAAATGGACAATGAGGTCATCTAGTCTGACCTGCAGCATAATACAAGCCATAGAATTACATCCACTTACCAGTTTATTGAGCTGAATACCTTGTGTTTGACTAAATCATCCTCTAGAAAGGCATCATATCATGATTTCAAGAGATGGAGAACCCTTCACGTCCCCTGGTAGTTTGTAAACCTTTGCACCTTTACTCAGCTATTCCCAATGTAGGGATTATTGCCAGCTCCAGGGCTGGGGAGTGGGGGCAGAGTTAAGGATGCATTGCAAGGGTGACGTTTACTTTAACTCTGTTTCCTGGTTTTCAGAGGTTTAGCCACCATCAGGACATGAGGCAGCACTGGGCAATGTTAAATGCTGCATAAAGGAAATTTATGGGCATTTAATGTCTTTGATGTTTTTTAAAATGGACTTTGTTGTCACTATAACTGTGTCTACACCAGAGCTCTTGCTGCCAGAGCTATGTGGGATAGGGATGTGATTTTTCACACCCCTCACTGACATAGCTATGCTGGTAAAGCTTTTAAGTGAAGGCCAGGTCAAAGCTTGCCTGTGGATTATAGAGCACTTGAAAATATTGCTCTCAACTGAGAAATGTTGGTATCAGAGCAAAACTTCCACAAGGAACTTCTACCCAACACACACTGTCTAGAAGCTGTCAGACATAGGACTCAAACACATGGATGTAGCTCAGCATCATTGGGGGAGGGATAGCTCAGTGGTTTGAGCATTGGCCTGCTAAACCCAGGGTTGTGAGCTCAATCCTTGAGGGGGCCATTTAGGGATCTGGGGCAAAAACTGGGGATTGGTCCTGCTTGAGCAGGGGGTTGGACTAGATGACCTCCTGAGGTTCCTTCCAACCCTGATATTCTATGATCAATGGCCACAGCATGTCCCTTGAGCCAGTTGTGTGAGAGCAGATTGCTAGAAACCCTCTGGCTCTGAACAGAGCCTTAGTCTTCCTGCCTGTGTGCATTTCGGTCTCTTTGACTTGTCGGTTTGGCTCATGGTGATCTGAAATTCCAAACGCTACAACTATTAACGCTAACTCAGGAAGTCCTTACAGAGGCGCACTAGTCCTGCTATAATTAAGGTTCAGCATTGCTTTCTGTTTAAAGGCTGACCATTCTCACTGCCCTAAAATCCACACGCTTATTTGGATTGGCTTGAAATGTGCTGCTGTTCGTGGGGGTGCCCAAGGATGGGATTATTTGATAAAGGGCTCTTGAGATAGACTCCTCCAAAGCAGCTTTTTCCAAAATCAGCTTGCTCTTATAACATTTTCTTGCACACACTTGCGGCTCAGACTAACCTGAGGGGGCCCTTCCATACTGTATTGTCAATAAACGCTGGCTTGTTGTGAAGAGCGTCTCTTGCATTGCTGCAGATACCTACTGTTTGCATCACCCACTAAAGAGAGGGGACTCTCTTGAACTCCCTGGAGAGCCATGGTAAGAAAAGGGGGTGCTGCCACCGGGCCCACACTCAGAGAAGTGATGCTGTGGGGCTTGCCCTCCAAAGAACTAAGCTTAGGGTCTAGCACATTAAAGGGGGCAGTCCCAAGAGAGACTGTAGAAAGGCTGCAGCTTCTAATGCCCTGTAAATCCATGGCATCCCTCTCTCTGAATCCCTCCATTGGTTCTCCCATCTCTGTCCCCTCAAACATAAACTGCTTGTCTTCAGTGGCAAGGCCTTTTGCAGCCTGTCTCCATCTGACATATGATTTCTGATTCAGCACTGAGATGCCAGCTCCCACCAGTGATCCTCCAGGGTTGCCAGCCTCCGTCACCTGCTTGTTAAAAGTTCAAACTATCCACTTCTTGCTTTCACTCATGCTGGGAGGAGCTCTCCATACACCTCCAGAAAGCTACCTCACGATCCTCCTTCAGGGTCCAGCTGGTGGCAGGCTGGAGAGAGGAAGGCTTGGGGCAAAGAGCTCTTTTGAGTTGGGAGGTCTGGGGGCAGTGAGGATGCCATGGAGCCGCTACTGTAGGGAATTGGGTGCCATGGAGGGCTGGGAGCAGTGGGAGGAAGTTGGATCAGGAGCTCAAAAAGCTGGGAGGGTTAGGGGTGTGAGTAAAGGGAACGTGGATGCTAGGTGCTCCAGGAAAGGGTGTTCTAGCTGTGGGAGAGAGGGGACACTCTTTTTGGCAGGAGTAAGGACCATTTAGAATGGAGTTTGGGATGGGAAGCGGTTGGGGAGCAGGAGACTTGGGGGAACGGGTACCAAAGAGGGCCATGGGCGATAGGAGGGGAGGAGAGAACACCAGCAGCACATGCTCTTGTCCCTAGGTGTCCGGGACTACAGGTCTTGAATGCTGGTCCATGGGGCTCTTAGCAGCTAATAAGTTCCGCCTGCCACCCAGGGACCTGCTAGCAGTTGTCAGACTAGAAGCCGAACCCTGACAGAGGACTCCAGCTGACTGGTGGAACGTTGGGGGTCCTGATCCCCTCTTTTATTTAACTGAAGCACAGACACAGGAAATAGTCCCTGCAGCTGGGTTTCCCCAGCTGAGGACTGCTTTCCCAGCGACACCTGCTCCTACTGCCTGACTCTGATGGCTTGGAAACTGACCCTGCTGGCTCTTGACTCCTGGTTTTGCCCTCTGGCCTGTCTCAGCGTCTGACCTCCTGTTATCTGACCTGGTCTGATGCCCAATTCCTGGTCTGACCACTAGCTCAGACTGCCTGCATCCTGGTGATGACACTGTGGGGGGTGGGGGAGAGCTGAGAGCAGTGAAAGGAAGGGGAGTGAGTAGCTGCACCTCTCTCCCCTTCCTGGTCTCTCTGAGTGCCCCCCCCCCCACGCTGTCAGGCCTTGCGCCTTTCCTTCTGGAGTGGAATTCTGCTGTTCTCCTGCTCCTAGATCGGGCCCTAGGCTGCAATACTCTGTGTATCAGCCATTTTTTACCCAGCAGGTCAGGCTGAGTGGTGACACCTTTGACAGTCTAGGATCAGTGGTGCACAGTGACAAAACAGCCACCTTAAACACTGCTGTGGTTTGATTTTGCAGGAGGGAAAAAAAGTATATGAGAAAATGATTTTAAAATAACAAATAGGCTTCATGCATGCCTGCCGTCCTAAAGGCTTACCATCTCCTGATGGTCACCTAGGCAGGTCTAACTTCTGCTGACTCCCTAGCGCGGTCCCAGTTTCTGCCTTTTCCCCCCTATCTCCTAATCAGCCGTCCCCTTCTTGGGAACGAGTCCTTTTCTAAACTGCTCCAGTCCTTTTGATCTTCTTGGCTCCAGACCTTGGCCCTGCTCAGCTAACCCAGTTCTGTAAATTGTCTGGAGCCAAGAGGTAGACTATTCCAAGCTAATATTTCAGGCATTGTCACTTACCAATCCTTAAGCGATTAATAAGGGGTGTCTCATCTTGAGCCACTCTTCCTCCCTTCCTGCTTGTTTTCCTTGCTGTGTCCCTATTAAACTAAACCAGCATAGTAATACAATCAATATCCCAATAACCAGGCCAGGGTATTCAGTATTCATCAGTACTAAAGAGCCGCTCCAGCTCTGTCACAGGGGGTGTGGAGAAATAGGACTGAGGCTCTGTCTACCCTGCAGTGTAAGCTCAGGTTCAGACTCTGGCTCGAGCCCAACCCCCATTCCTTCTACACACAGATCTATCTGACTCAGGCCAGTAAGCTCTCAGGACCTGGGCCCTTGGACCTGGCCAGGGCAGTGATTCTGAGCCCGAGTTCCAGAAACTTCATCATTTTACAGTGTGGAAGCAATTCAAGTCCAGGTCCCCTGACTCATATCCTGAGCATCCAGCAATGCTATCCCACAATCCCATGGGCTAGTGTTCCTTGGCCTTTCTGTCTCAAGACTAGCCAATCAACTCCCAGGAAATGGAAGCATGCCCCTTCAAGTACAACTGCACATCCTATAACCCTGCCATTTTATTCTGACCACTGAACTGCAAACAGCTGTGGCCACCAACAAGAAGAGCCCTTTGCCCAGCATGCTGCTGCATGGCCACAGGACTACAGTCAGATTCTGGTGAATCTCTGGGACAAAGTGAGCAAGACATGGACTTCAGTAAAACCATCAAAAATGACCAATTGTACCAAGAAATAACAAACAACTGGCAGCACTGGGGATTACATGGATTAGTGACCAGTGCAGGGAGCAGATTAAGTGGCTCAAAAGCAACTACTGGAAAGCCAGAGAACTGCATCTCTGGGAACTTCCCAGCCTCCTGTCTCATTTACAATGACTTTGACCAGGTGCTGGGTGCTTGCTGAGCACTGAGACCCAAGAAATTCACGATAGCCTGGTCAGCAAGGATGACAACC